CAGTTAAAATAAGTGTTGGGGAAATGATGTCAGCATAGGATTGCAGGTCTTCCTGCCGCATTACAGACCTGGGCAACAGCAGGAGCTGAGAGCTCCCTGGTGCCATCAGATGGAACCCCAACCCACTCAGCAGGCCCCCGAGGGCTGGGTATCACCAGCAGCATTCAGAGTCACAAGCAACCCTACATGTCATTGGAATCTCTCTCTTCAAAGCAAATCTTTATGTTTTAAACAAACCATATAAATATCAGGATATGTCTGTATTGTTTTGTAGCATTTTAGACTTACACCAAGAAAGGGGACAACTGGAATGTGTACTCTGTTATAGATTAAATTGCTAAAGAAAGCTGAAGCTTTTTCCAGAGTCTCACTATGACCCAAGCTGGCCTTGAACTGACCATATAGCCCAGGCTGGCTTTAAACTCACAATCCTCCTACCTTAGCCTTGTGAATGTAGGAATTACAGGTATGTGCCACCACCCCTTGCTAAGAAGTCTCCATGTTATAATCTACACCTGAGGTTCTACCTGCTTATCTCAACTTTCACGTGAATAATTGAAATAATTTTATCCTCTTTCTTACCATTCACAGTATCCCTGATTTTAGCTCCGGTCTGTGCCCTGCTAAACCTTGAATGTTAAGTGAGTGAGTGAGAGGGGCAGAGAATTCAGATTAATACTGTAGAGAATTCTGTCAAGGAAGGTGTGATGTTTCCAACTCCTTGTCATTCATTGTGTTTGCAACCTTCCTCTCTTCTAGTTATTTATAAAATGTGTAATTGTGATCTCTAAGTCACCCCTCCGTGTTGTAGAATACACACTAGAATACTGGAACTTATTGTCTATGTTTGTGTACCCATTCATTATCTAACCTCTATCACCCACACCTTTTCTGCCTCGAGAAATCACATTCCACATTTGGGTAAACCTTTTTTTAGTTTAGTAGCTAGGTGTGCAAGAGAACCTCTTATTTACCTTTCTGTTTCTATTGTTAGTATAACGTCCACCAGTTCCATGTATTTCGCCCTAAATGTTAGTATATACTGTTTTTTATGGCTCAGTAATATTCCATTTTATTTTCTTTAGTTCTTTGTTTGTTGATGGACATCTCAGACAATTTTGTATCTTAGGTCTTATGGATAGTTCATCAATAAATATTAGGCATGCATATGTCTTAGGTAATAGTGTGTCTTAGGCACACACATCTTTTACATGGTAACACCACTGGAAATACCTCTACAAGGTGGAGATTAATGTTCAGTGCCTTCTGAAATGCAATTACCAATGAAATTATAAAGTTAGCTTTATTATAAATAGGGAGGTTGGTTTATAATTTCAGTTAAGCATATTGACTATTTGTGAGCACAATTACAAGGTGGTTACAATTTCCAGAGCACCTTTGGGGGGTGTGTCTCAGTTCTCATTCTAAACTGATGACTTTGCCTATTGGTGAAATTATTAAGGCCACTCCACGTAGTTAAAAGGAAGATTTATTTAGTGGGTAACTTACAAATGAAGGGATAGGTAGGTCGTGGGGTCTAGGGAAGGTGTATCGCAGTCCAGCAGTGTTCTCTGGAGCTCTGCTCGGTCAACCTCCACCGTCCAGGGTCCAGGAACAGAGAGTGAGCTGGCCCATCTGGATCTCGAGTCTCCAGGGTCCTCTCTTGGCCCTGCCTTGTAGGCGTGACAGTTGCCGAAGCCTCAATGGGGGTTGGAACTTCCATATCAAAGCTGGAATGGCTACCCACTACATTTGTCTGTTTCCTAATGATTTTATACAGCCTCCCTTTGCTTTTCTTCTTATACCATTTAAAAGGGAACAAGGTCATTGTATGTAGTTTACATTGAAGATGAATGCTTTGTAGTGTTTCTGTGTGTTTTAAGGGTACACACTCTTCTTCTACACAATACGTATTTTATTAATTTCCACCACAGCTCCTTCTCCCCCCCCAGAAAAGAAGAATTATGTTTTCCATACTGATATTTGGTCTTACTTTTTGAATGGATTTCGATTTCCAAG